CTGATATGTGGATACAGGCCCGCGGCCCACCGCCAGCGGCATTCGCATCGAATGCCGTGGTGGTATACACGCCGGTCTATAAGCGCAGATCTGCTATCTCATCCATTACCGAGCTGAGTACTGTAATACATACATTGTACATGCGCATGGCCCAATTGCAGCCTTCAGAGCTTTAATTAAGCCACACGAGAGACATATGAATAACACTCATATATGACACATTTAAAGTTCAACCAACAATACAAAATTTCCATGACAGTGTATGTGTACATGTGTCTGTATGTGTGTGTGTGTGTAAGCATACATGTATGGGTGGTTTGGGCAGATTCTGGATTATGTGATTATTATGGGTAGTAGAGTATGGGGCATTTGAGGTACTGCTGTGTTGGATAGAAGGTAAGATATGCTTGGTAGAGTTATGGTTTGGTGAGTGAGAGATTATGGGGGGTTATGGTTGTATGCGGTACATGATCTAAATATGATGTAGTGTTTAGGGGTACATTGTGGACCCTGTTGTAATGTGGGGGAATTCTAAGAACCCTGATGTAATGTGGGGGGATTCTGGGGACCCCGATGTACTGTGGGGAGACTCCAAGGACCCTGATGTAATATGGGGGGACTCTGGGGACCCCAATGTAATGCAAGGGGACTCTAGGGACCGTGATGTAATGCAGATGAACTGTAAGGACCCTGATATAATGCGGGGGGACTCTAAGGACCCTGATGTAATGTGGAGGGAACCTGATGTAATGCAAGGGGACTGAAGGGACCCTGATGTAATGCAGAGGAACTGTAAGGACCCTGATGTAAAGCGGGGGGACTCTAAGGACCCTGATGTAATGTGGAGGGAACCTGATGAAATGCAAGGGGGACTCTAGGGACCCTGATTTAATGCGGGGGGACTCTAAGGACCCTGATGTAATGTGTGGTGGCTCTGGGGACCCTGATGTAATGCAGTGGAACTCTAGGGACCCTGATGTAATGCAAGAGGGCTCTAAGGACCCTAATGTAACAGTGTATTTCATGAGATAATCTTAGAGAGCGTGTTTATGGGTGGAATTATAGGCAAGGCAGGGTAGGGGTTGGGTTCGGCAACTGGTGGTGAGTAACTCTTAAGGCCTGGCTAGTAGCTCAGGACTTGAAATTTTGAGCCCTGTATTAGAGAACCACAAACCATCTTGATAAGTGGAGGAGTTGTGATTTCTTCAGCAGGTGGTGCCACACAAGAATTCTAAATTTCCCTCTTCCAGGATAAAACAAAATCACAGGTGTGCAGAAAGGGGATCTCCTGATGTCCAGAAACATACTATGTTTTCTTGAAAATGCATATAATATTGGAGATCACTGTGTGGATTATGTCAAGGCTCCTGTTTATTATAGGCAGAGGGATCCAGGCACAATTTACCACTGAAAGCATGTGTGAAGTCTAGACAAATCACCTCATTAGATTTATTTTGGCTGGGTTGTTTACATATTGAATAAGATGGAGCAGTTCCAGGAAAGATCTCATACACATACCCAACGACAATTCTAGTTTTCCAAAGGGTCTACATCTGATTAATTCCAAATAAATAAGCTTCCCAAACCTAAAGACAATCCAAACAAATTAAACAAAACAACATCAATTTTTTAACGTAAGTAACTGAACAGTTCTTTTAAATTAAGCTGCCATTTAGTTGTCATGACCTTCATTCTTGCTGGTTGTTTAACAAAATGTCTCATTGAGGCAAAACAGCTTTGTATTTGAGGCCTTTCGTTATCTAAGCTGAAGCCTGGCTTCCTTCCCAGTGCCACTCAGCAATACCTCTAACGTTTCTGTACAAATTGCCTTTACTTGAAGTTTTTGTTCTTGGTCACATTTTTCAGTAGTTCTCTATTTAGAAAGTTCCCTTTGTTGAATACATAAAACTTTTGTTGTTGCACTTTTGGCCTGAGCACCAAGACTGGAGCCACTGTTTGGGTTATTTATTGTTACATACAAAAAAGGGCCTTGAATGATTATGTAACTTCCCAGCACAAATGTTGCTACGTCGATGTCAATAATATTAATTAAAGGGAAACTGTGGTGTATTTTCAGTAAGTACACACTTTCAGTTATTATGGTAACATTCACGTGAAAGTAATATTTGATGTAATTATCAAATTTTTACTTTCCTGCTCCTTTTTTTTTTTTTTTTTGCTTATACAGATTTGTGGTTTACTGTATATCATGAAATGTGGGTTGTAACACTACCTATAACTAAACAGCAGGCAAATATACAAAGATAAAAAAAAAATAAATAAAAAATAAAATATATATATATATATATATATATATATATATATATATATAAATAAAAATATATATATACATGCACTATACTGCCAAAAGTACTGGGACATCCTTCCAAATCATTGGATTCAGGTGTTCATGGCCTCAGGTGTATACAATCAAGCATCTAGGAATGCAGACTGCTTCTACAAACATTTGTGAAATAATGGGTCGCTCTCAGGAACTCAGTGAGTGAATTCAAGCATGGTATCATGATAGGTTGCCACCTGTGCAATAGGTCCATCTGTGAAATTTTCTTGCTACTAAATATTTCACTGTCAACCGTTAGTGATATTATAACAAAGTGGAAGCAACTGGGAACAACAGCAACTCAGCCACGAAGTGGTAGGCCACGTAAAATGACAGCACATGAAGTCGCCAACTCTCTGCAGAGTCAATAGCTAAAGAACTCCAAACTTTGCGTGGCCTTCAGATTAGTACAAGAACAGTGTGCAGAGAGCTTCATGGAATGGATTTCCATGGCTGAGCAGCTGCATCCAAGCATTACATCACCAAGTGCAATGCAAAGCGTCAGATGCAGTGGAAACGTGTTCTTTGGAGTGGTGGTGTGGGGTTGTTTTTCAGGAGGTTGTGCTTGACCCCTTAGTTCCAGTGAAGGGAACTCTTACGGCGTCAGCATACCAAGACATTTTGAACAATTTCGGGCTCCCAACTTTGTGGGAACAGTTTGGGGGTGGCCCCTTCCTGTTCCAACATGACTACGCACCAGTTCACAAAGCAAGGTTCATAAAGACATGGATGAGCGAGTTTTGGGAGGAGGAACTTGACTGGCCTGCACAGAGTCCTGATCTCAACCTGATAGAACACCTTTGGGATGAATTAGAGCAGAGACTGCAAGCCAGGCCTTCTCATCTGACATCATTGCATGGCTTCACAAATGCGCTTCTGGAAGAATGGTCAAACATTCCCATAGACACACTCCTAGTGGACCTTGTGGACAGCCTTCTCAGAAGAGTTGAAGCTGTTATAGCTGTTATAGCTTCAAAGGGTGGGCCAACTCGATATTGAACCCTACGGACTAAGACTGGGATGCCATTAAAGTTCATGTGCGTGTAAAGGCAGGCATCCCAATGCTTTTGGCAACATAATGCATATATATATATGTACCATCAGCCAGTCTGATGTGGACCGTGATGTGAATGGGGGAATCCGATAGGGAGCCTGATGTAAAAAAGGGATTTTTATTAGGACTCCTGATGTAAGGAGGGATTCTGATAGGGAAATCTTAAATAAAGAGGCAAAGGTTCAGTTTAGTCATCTTAATCCAATGACAGCCTAATGCTTCCATGTTTACTCCTGCATTGCCTCTGCACAACCTTTTAGATGTTACTTTTGGGTTGTGACTTGTGTGACAGACTGTCAGTGATTCACACACAGCGTTGGCAGTGTGCCCCCTGATGTTTTTATTGCACCCCCAGATGAGAGAGGCTAGATCCTGCCTTGTGAAATAATACATTTAGTTACCATGTATCCTCTAATCATATGCTAATTAACATGTTTGACTGCTTTCATGGAGACTAGTAAAAGAGGAAGTGATATTGGCAGGAAATCGGGGAGGAAAAAGGACATGAAGACAGCCATGTGCTGAACCCAAAGGAGCAGTAGGCTTGAGGACTTCAGAGAAGCAGTCTAGAAGGAGACCAGGGGAGAAGGAAAGGACTCCATAACACCTGGAAGATGGAACTTCGCTTGGAGATGACACTAAATCTACAACCCAAGTTTAGTATATGTTGTGTATCCCTATCACATACACTGTCAATGCGCACTTGCTAGGAAGGATAGATAGCTTGTGCATGGGTGTCAGGGTCTGGATCTGAACTTGTGACCTCTGTGGTGTTTGGCTGTGACACTTTTAGTTGTGCAGAGATGATTGACAGCTCCCTATCTGAACCCTTAACCACTTGCCTACCGGGCACCTACCCCCTTAGTGCCCAGGCCAATTTTCAGCTTTCAGTGCTGTCCCACTTTGAATGACAATGCAACATTGTACCCACATGAAATTTGTATAATTTTTTTTCACACAAATAGAGATTTCTTTTGGTGGTATTTAATAGCCGCTGGGTGTTTTATTTTTTACGCTATCGACAAAACAAAGAGCAAAAAGTTTTTAAAAAAGTTTTTCTTTGTTTCTATTATAGAATTTTGCTAACAGGTAATTTTTCTCCTTCACTGATGTGCATTGTTAAGGCTGCACTGATAGGCAGCACTGATGGACACTGACATGTGGCACTGATGAGGCTGCACTGATATGCAGCAATGATAGGCACTGATAGGCGGCACTGATGGGCAGCACTGATTGATGGCACTGACTGGCGGCACTGCTGGGCACTGAGTGGTAGCACTGCTGGGCACTGATGGGCGACATTGCTGGGTAGCACTGATGGGTGGCACTGCTGGGCACTGAAGGGTGGCACTGCTGGGCAAAGGTGACTGGCACTGCTGGGTACCGGTGGGTGGCACTGATCATCAGCCGATCAGTTCTCTGACAATTGCCAGTTATCAGCAGTACTTTCCTCACGCTGAGACAGTGTGAGGAAAGTGCAGCCGATAACCGGCAACTGTATTTACCCGGTGATCTGGTGTGTTATTGGACACAGCTGATCACGTGGTAAAAGGCCGCTGTGATTGGCCTTTTACCACATCACATGATAAGCTGTGTTCGTAGGACACAGTGATCACGGAGATTTCCAGGTGCGCGCCACTTTGGGCATGCAGGAGGGTGCGTTCTGGGAGGATGTCAGATGACGCCCTCCCAGGACTGGACAACCACACTGTATCCATCATTTTGTTATAGAGCGGTTGCCAGGTGGTTAAGATAATCTTTTTTTTAGTGAACCTTGAACTCTTTGCCCTTCCTATGAACTTCCTGATTTAGGCAAAGTCTCTGCTTTTCCTGTTTGCCAGGTTGTTGTGCTCTCTTCAGTCAGTATCTTTGCGTACCTGCAGCTGCCTTTATCTTCACTACCATACGTTACCGTCCTTTGGCTTGTGGTTTGACTACGCTTCCGCTTGATCCCAACCTGCAACCATTTGTTATCGACCCTTGGCTTGTTCCTTGACTATACTTCTGCTTGATCACAAACTGCAACCAATAGTTACTATCCTTTGGTTTGTTTACTGACTATGCTTCTGCTTAATCCCTATCTGCTATATCTATCACTGGACCCTGGTTTACTCATCTCCTGGTGGAGTGATCCTGAAGACTGAAACCTGATACTAACTCCTAGCAAAACCCATCTCCACTATTAGGAGCTCTGATGAATACCAGTTAGTTCTTAGTCCCTGTGCCTTGGGTGAGCCCACGTCATCCACCAGGTTGACCTGCTTGTGTACTTATCCTGCTGATCGCAGGGAGCCTCTCTACTACTATAGCTACTGGTCTCTGAGCCTGACTCCTGACCATAATAATTGGTATATTGTATACATATTTGTAATATTCTGTATGTTGTGTATTGTTTCCTACAAGTATAAGTAGTTTATATGCGCAGCTTTTTTGTTTAGTAAAGCTCGTTAATATACTACAGAAGGTTTTTCTGTTTTCTTGCTTCACTACAAAGTAACCTCAAAAGATACAAAACAAAACTATTGGGGGCTTAGCTGGGATTTGCACTAAAGTTCAATTGATGCAGACCTATTTTCTGTAGTGTTTTTGTTGCTTGTGTTAAGAAAAATGCTGCATATGCTGTTTAGGAAAAGAATGACTACAGAGGTTTCTGGTGTCCAGTAGATTTGCAACCTGCCTGCCTGGGCCAGAGACAATCCATGGATGTCTATTGCAAGGGAGCTTGCTAAGTATTCTTCTCCTTTGAATAGAACTTGGAGTGATGGAGTCTGGGATTTTTAGTCTTAAAAGTTTTGGGTTCAGTAAGGGAGACATGCGAGCAGGAGTTGTGTTTACAGTTGCAAGAAAAAGTATGTGAACCCCTTGGGATTATGTGGAGTTTTGCATGAATTGGGCATAAAATGTGCTCTGAACATCATCTAAGTCACAACAATAGAAGAACACAGTCTGCTGAACATAATACTACACAAACATTAGATGTTGCCATGGTTTAATTGCACATAACATGTAAACATTCACAGTGCAGGGAGGAAAAAGTATGTGAACCTTTGGACTTAATAACTGATTGACCCTCCTTTGGCAGCAATAACCTCAACCAAACGTTTCCTGTAGTTGCAGATCAGACCTGCACAACGATCTGGAGTAATTTTGGACCACTCCTCTTTACAAAACTGTTTCAGTGTAGCAATATTCTTGGGATGTCTGGTGTGAATCGCTCTCTTAAGGTCATGCCACAGCATTTCAATCGGGTTGAGGTCAGGACTCTGACTGGGCCACTCCAGAAGGCGTATTCTGTGCTGTTGCAGCCATTGTTCTGTTGAATTACTTGTATGCTTTGGGTCATTGTCCTGTTGCATCACCCATCCTCTGCGGAGCTTCAGTTGGTGGACAGATGGTCGTACGTTTTCCTGAAAAATGTCTTGATAAACTCTGGAATTCATTTTCCCATCAATGACAACAATCTGTCCAGGCCCTGAGGCAGCAAAGCAGCCCCAAACCATGATGCTCCCTCCGCCATGTTTCACAGTGGGGATGAGGTTTTGATGTTGGTGTGCTGTGCCTTTTTTTCTCCACACATAGTGTTGTGTGTTCTTCCCAAACAACTCAATCTTGGTTTCATCTGTCCACAGTATATTTTGCCAGTAGTGCTGTGGAACATCCAGGTGCTCTTTTGCAAACTTCAAACGTGCTGCAATATTCTTTTTGGACAGCAATGGCTTCCTCCGTGGTGTCCTCCCATGTACTCCATTCTTGTTTAATGTTTTCCTTATTGTAGATGTGTTAACAACAATGTTAGCATGTGCCAGAGATTTCTGTAGGTCTTTAGCTGACACTCTGGGATTCTTCTTTACCTCATGCAGCATTCTGCGCTGTGCTCTTGCAGTCATTTTTACAGGACGACCACGTCTAGGGAGAGTAGCAACAGTGCTAAACTTTCTCCATTTGTAGACAGTCTGTCTTACCGTGGACACATGAACATCAAGGCTTTTGGAGATACTTTTGTAACCCTTTCCAGCTTCATGCAAGTCAACAATTCTTTTTCGTAGGTCTTCTGAGAGCTCTTTCTGCGAAGGCATGGTTCACATCAGACAGTGCTTCTTGAAACCAGTAAACCCAAAACAGGTGTGTGTTTTTTAAGGGCAGGACAGCTGTCAGCAACACATCCAATATCACCACACTGATTGGAGTCAAGGTTGGCTCACTCCTGGCTCCAATTAGCTCTGGGGGAAGTCATTAAGCTAGGGACTCACATACTTTTTCCTCCTCAGCAGACTGTGTTCTTCTAATGTTGTG